CTTCAATCTCTGGTTACTTCCTTCTCTTTGATCTAAACAAAGATTAGATGACAAATAAACAAAAACAGATAGGTAGCAAACACAAAATTGTCTATAGAAACTCAAAAAATCTTTGTAACTTGATAGATATCAAGAGAGTCATTTACTAAATACTTTATGTAAATATATCTAACCAAAACAATGACACTGAAAAAAAAACTGATTTTGCAATTTGACTTGGCCAATTTAAAGATGCAGCTCTCACTCATTGTTCCATGAGAGTGATCTCCATCAACTTTTCACTAGATTATCTATTACCATCAAATAACTCATAATCATCTCAAGGAATCACATATCATCCAAAACGCATCAAACTTTGATGGAATTTATCGATCCCTACAACGCTTTGTGTTGTCACCTTCGAAGCTCGTGAAATCCACTGTATCCGAGAGAGATGAATCCCTCCTCCTCTATGCATATTGCTCCTAAAACACAAAAACTGCAACAAGAGAAAAAGGGATGATAAGGCAAAACCTGAAATAACCCCGTAAGATTTACGAAAGTGGGCTGGAACAAATTGTATAAAGCCAAACGGTAAGACAAGTAAGTTCCAAAGTACTAACATTTCGATTTCCATAAGTAAAGCGTTAAAATGTGTAAGTATCTAACATTTTCATACAATAGTGCTTATCATCTTACGACCCACTCAAATCAGTTATATACCAACACAAGAAACCGGCAATAACGAGTCAATTCTTGTTTAAGTTCCCCCAAAGCAGCTCAAAAATTGTATAATCTTTGTAAGCAAGATTCCAGTACAGGACTAATCAATCAATCACCTTTAAGAACTTGAAGAAGGAGAAATCTGAGAATCAGCAATGGAAGCTGAGGCAGTAGCAGCAGCTTGAGGAGAATAGATTCGAGCTTTCTTGATAATTTCTGAAACAGCCCAATGCTTATGCTTACTCAATGGCCTTGAAGGATCCAATTTCACCTACATAACAACAATAACCAAACCTAAAGTAATCAGAAACTCAAAAAGGTTCAAAATTGAGATCAATCAATCCACTTGCAAGTTTCCTTAAACAATTGGCAAAAGTTTCGAACTTTCTTTTGTAATCAGTCAAAAATTTGAGAGAATTTTACTCGATCTCCGATGTTGCAGGAGTCTGTATCGTCGTGAGCCATGAACTTAGAAGTGCGCTTGACGTAGCGATTGAAGAACTTGTTATGGAAGAGTCTATCGACGGAGACGACTACAGATTTCTGCATCTTGTTCGATACCACAGTGCCAATTACTGGCTTCATTTTATTATTTTTTTTCCGATCAAACAAATACCCAGAACGAAATCAGTGAAATTTTTGC